GCTTTACTCTGACATTGTGACCGCTCTCCAAGGCGCGGCGACTTTGGCGAGTCGGGAAAGCGCGAGGAGGTACGGGGGTGGCCCCGCGCATAGCTGGGTGGAACAAACACGTCAGTGAGACTCACAGAGAGGCCAGATCTAAATTCAATGACTGGGTATTGTGTGGTAGACCCAGGTCAGGTTTTCTTTACAAAGAAATGTGTGATAGCAGAATAGCGTTCAAGTCCCGATTAAAATTGTGCCAAAATCATCAAGACCAAATAAAGATGGACGCTCTTGCTGTGAAACATAGCGAAGGAGATTTTCGCGGCTTCTGGAAGTTCACCAGTAAAATAAATATACGGCCTGGCCTTCCCGTGTGCGTCGATGGCATGAACAATCCCAAGGATATTGAAAATCTTTTCAAGAGCCATTTTTCTGTAAAGTCTCTGTTGGATCCGGTAGTGGAAGGGTTCAGCACTGACCTGGACACACAAACAGTGGGGACTAGTTTCCTGGCTAAAAGCGTAGTAAAAGTTATAGGAGATATGTCAGGAGGCAAGACCCCGGGACATGATGGACTTAGTGTTGAGCACTTGCAACATGCTGGACCTCACCTAGCTAGGGTCTTGGCTATGTTCTACTCTCTATGTGTTAGCCATTCCTACCTGCCCGCGGATTTAATGAAAACCGTGGTGGTACCTATAGTGAAGAACAAAACGGGTGACTTGACTAACAAGTGTAACTATAGTCCTATTTCTCTTGAAACCGTAATTGCAAAGTTGTTTGACTTTTTTCTTAATACACAGTTGAATAAACATGTAATGCTCCATGATAACCAGTTCGGATTTCGTTCTCGGTTATCCATTGAAAGCGCCATATTGTGTCTAAAGCAAACCGTCAAATACTACACTGATCGCAGAACGCCCGTGTACGCATGGTTCCTCGACCTATCCAAGGCATTTGACCTGGTGTCATATAACCTGCTGTGGGGCAAGCTGCAAAGCATAAGCTTGCCACAAGAACTTATCAGCATGCTCCAGTACTGGTACGCAAACCAGGCCAATAGGGTCAGGTGGGCGGGGGTAATGTCGGATCCGTATCGGCTTGAGTGTGGAGTCAGGCAGGGTGGCTTAACATCACCAACCCTATTTAATCTTTATATCAACGGGCTGATCGTAGCGCTTAGCAGTCAGCATGTCGGCTGCCACATTGACGGTGTTTGTGTCAATAATCTGAGTTATGCAGACGACATGGTGCTGCTGAGTGCGTCGGTCTGCGGCCTGAGGAAGCTGATACGGATATGCGGGGAATATACATGTGGCCACGGATTATTGTATAATGTCAGGAAGAGTCAATACATGGTCTTTGAGGCCGCTGGTACGAAATGTCCTGATAGTATACCTCAAATAAAATTAAATGGTGTACCCCTGGAAAGGGTTAAACAGTTTCAATATCTGGGGCATTTACTCACAGTCGACCTGAAGGATCACGTTGATATGGATCGGGAACGGAGGGCGCTGTCTGTCAGAGCTAACATGATCGCTCGTAGGTTTGCGCGGTGTTCAAAGGAGGTTAAGGTTACGCTCTTCCGAGCGTTCTGTACATCGCTCTACTCGTGTAGCTTATGGGCTAATTACAGTAGGAAGAGTTACAGCGTCCTCCGCGTCCAATACAATAATGCGTTTAGGGCGGTGATGGGGTTGCCTCGATTTTGTAGTGCCTCTGGTATGTTCGCGGATGCGCGCACCGATTGCTTCAATGCCACCATGCGCAAGCGGGGGTCCCTGGTGCGCAGAGTGCGGGCCAGCTCCAACACTGTCTTGGCGATGATCTCGAGAAGGTTAGACTGTTATATTATCTGGCATTGCTGCGACAGACATGTCGCAGAACAGTTGCCTCTGAGAAAGTTTTGATTGAAATCGTCTCCTGACTGATGAAAGTGTGTTTCAATTCTGTTATTTATGTATTAACTTTATTTTAATTGATTAGATTATTTTATATAATGACATTACTGCTTACTGAAATTGACTGGATGTATTATTTTAAAATTGTTATTTTGTTGACATTGATTTATGTATTGTATCGCTATACTTGCGGAGATTGATTTTAAATTCATTTATTGCAGCACAGTTGCCTCAGAGAAAGTTTTAATTATTGATCTCGTCTCCTGACTGATAAATGTGTGTAATTCTGTTATTTATTTATTAATTTTAATTTTAATTTTATTTCAATATATTTCATATACTGATATTACCGCCTATTTACATTGACTAGATAAATTATTTTAAAATTTTTATTTTGTATTGACATTGATTTACTTATTGCTTAATTTTGGAGACCGATTTTAAATTCTTTGATTTTACTGGATATGGGTGTAATTTGCCTGAATAAAGATGATTATTATTATTATGTGTGGGGTATCTATACAGTTTTCTCATCCGGTTTGGATGTCTAAATATATAATTATAAACAAAAATGAAAGGATAAATATACATAAATATCAATAAAATAAAATAAATACAAAAATACATAAATAAATAAAAGCCCAACCAGATGGAAGACCTCGGCAGGGTAGACCAAACGGCCAAGGGTTAGGAAGAAAGGGAAAGAAACCGGCGGACGATGCGGGCAGTATCAAGGAGCACCGCCTTCTGCATTTGAGCTCGGAGCGGTCCGTCACGGATTCCCAGTCGCCTCAGATGACCAGAGAAACATTAGCCCATTCACACTACAAATAATTTCCGGCAGACCACCCCACATGTCGGTCACCTCGTGAGCCAGGTCCAGATATTTTGATTGCTTATCTGTTTCGGCTCTCACGAGGTTCTCATCATACGGGATGGTAATATCGACCAAAAATATCCTTGACTGTGCCCGATCCATCAGCACAATATCAGGCTTATTCGCAAGAATAGTCCTGTCCGTGATGATGGCCCGGTCCCAGTAGTGTCTGGCGCGGTCATTTTCGAGCACGGCTTCCGGCAAGTACTTGTAATACGGCAATTTCCGGTCTACGAGACCGTATTTCAGAGCGAGCTCCTGGTGTAGAATTCTGGCTACTAGGTTGTGCCTGTGCAAGTACTCAGAGTTAGAAAGCGCCGAACAACCGGAGATGACATGCCTAAGTGACTCCCCGGGATGGCGACAAGCTCGACAGACGTCGACGGTGCCATCCTTTAGGATGTATCTCCGATAGTTGTTGGTCTTAATAACCTGATCCTGTATTGCACAGACAAAACCCTCGGTTTCCCCCGAAGAGGTCACCGAAACGTAGCCAGTTGAGGGAGGCGACTGTATCTACGAAGGGCTCATGAAGAGCCCTGTAGTACCTCCCGTGGAGCTCCTTCTCCTTCCATACGGTCTCCCGGTCGGAATTGCTAAGCACTGCTGGGTCCTGCCATTGCTCGTTGGCTAAGGATAGAGGGGTAAGCCCTTTATCACTAGAAATGACGTCATTATAGAATGGATCATCCGATCTCGCCAAGAAGTACTGACGGAGACTGCACACTTCGCGATTATGCATGGTGAGCGCGCTCAGAAAGCCACGCCCACCATACTTTCGCGGCAAGTACGGCCTCATTACCGACGATCTCGGATGATGCATCCTATGGGACGTCATGGTAGTGCGGACTTTTCTATCCAGGGCGTTAAGCTCAGTCTGAGTCCACCTGAGTATGCCAAAGGTATACATGAGGACAGGCATGACCCAGCCGTTATATGCGTTTGTCTTATTCACACCGGACAAAAGGCTGTTAAGCACTTTGGTCAAGCGTGCATAAAACACGTCGCAAACTGACTGTTTCATACCAGGCTCATCGATACCGATGTTCTGTGACATACCCAGGTATCGGTATGTTTCAGCCTCGGAAAGGGTCCTTAAGTTGACGGGCATAGACTTGTCTATGCCCTCAGAGTTAGCAACCCTTCCCCTTTCAACATGGAGGATCGCACACTTATCCGTCCCCAGCTCCATTCTAATGGAACTGCTAAATTCACAAGTGATGTTCAGCAATTCCATAAGATGGGAATGATCGGAGGCGAATAACTTGAGGTCATCCATATAGAAAAGGTGGGTCACGTTTATCCCTCCTTTCCGTAGCTGAAATCCCCTCCCGGAGCCCTCCAGTAAGGTACTGAGAGGGTTAAGAGAGAGGCAGAACCAGATTGGACTCAGACAATCGCCCTGGAAGATACCCCTTCTTATCCTTATGTGGTTCTCCGCAGACGTCATCCGCTCGCCCAGATGACAAAGGATCGTACTCCACTGCCCCATACACTGCTCGAGGAAGTCTCTAACTGTACAGTCAATCTTGTACAGCTCGAGGACCCTCTTTAGCCATGTATGGGGCACCGAGTCGAATGCCTTTCTGTAGTCTATCCAGGCGGCGGAGAAGTTCCGACGGTTGCGTTTCACCACTTTGCCTATGACCGCGTCAATGAGGAGTGGTTCCTTAGTTCCACGACCACCGCCCCCGACATCCATTTTGAGCGCGTGACATCACCTGGTTTAGCTCCAGGTGACGAGTGATTCTCGCGCTCAAAATGGATGTCAGTGTCTTATATATGGTGGTAACTATAGGGCGGTATTTGCTCGGGTCTGTGGTATCCTGATCTTTAGGAACCAAGTGAGTGATCCCAGTAGTGAAGAGGCTCGGGAGTGACTTCTGGTCGAGAGCCTCTTGAAACTGTCGGGCGAGCACAGCGTGACACACTACGAACCCCTTCAGCCAGTAATGATGCAGCCCGTCGAGCCCCGGAATTTTCCAGTTCGGGGCCCTACGGACCGCCTCAGCCACGTCTTCTGGCGTTATGGTGATGGGGTCCATAGGCGTAACACTCGCACCCTGGCTCGCCACAACTTCCATCCAAGGGCCCTCACTGTGGTTTACGGGCTCTGACCACAGGCCAAGCCAGAATGCGATAATGTCAGCCTGATCCGGTCCTTGGCCCGCTCCACATACCTTTGGTCGCTCCAATAATTTATAGAGCCTCTTCTGATCACTCTGGAAGAGACGATTCTAGTTGAACCGCCTTGACCCTCGAAAAATCATCGAATCCGCTTCCCCCCAAGCAGCGATCTTTTGCTTCAGGTCGTCTATGCGCTCCGTTAGTTTCTGCGTGATATCCGGCTGGGACAAACTGATATTTGTCCCAGCAAACGCCATTCTAACGGTGCGCATAATCCTCGGTCTATTATTACCCGACCTGAAGCTTGTCAGTCTGCCGATAAGGGCCCTTGCCTTTGCGATACGGTCCTCGATTCTTTTCCTCCAGGCTGGGATGGCGTTACTTTGTGTAGTAGCGCGTCCAGCCATGGGAAGTTTGGCGCCAAAAATACGGGAAACTGCCACTGCGGCGGCAAATAGAATCGAGTCCGTCTCGCAAAGGTCCCGGCTGGCTTCCAAATAGGTCACCAGCATTGGGTTAAGAGCCCTCACGACAGCCCGATTTCGCTTGCTTAAGGGTATGCGGGGAAGTCGCGGTCGATTTTCGAGAGGGGTGCTGCGCGTTTCCAAAATCGCCTCTTCCAATATACTCCTCATTTGCTTTAGTTCGTGGGAGACTATTTCATCGTCGTTCGAATCAACCACAACTGGAAGATTCATGGCGGCTTTCACGTGTGGATGCTTGTCTGTCGAATGTGGAGCTGCATCTCCAGCCATAGTCGATTCATTCGACGACGGAATACCCTGACGTCGTAGTCGTTCGAGTTCGGCATCATCAAATATTTTCGAGCGCATGATGTACCGAACTCGGTCTGCCAGGTTTTGTTCCGTGACGTCGATAGACGGCTCCAGCTCAGCAAAAAAGCAATGCATCCGAGACCTATACGCTATTCCCACAGTTTCTTCCCCTTTCGCCCTTTAGTACGCCCGCAATGCGTTTTCGTTCATGGATTTTGTCCAACGCATGCGACGTGCTCCACCAGCGGCGTGTGCCGCTTGCTGGGTCCGAGAAGATCCAGCCGACACCAAGCTTCTGGTGGGGATGATGGATTTGAGGGGCTGCTAGTAGATCGTGCAGCTCCTCGCGCTCGGCTGGCGGCCCGCATGCTACCGCGTCCAGCGCCAGCTCCAAACACGCACCGGCGACCCCCAGGCAGCGGCTCTATGCGCGTTCCTTTTTGTGTTTCTTCCATCATCCATTTTATGGGCGCCAAATAACGGGAGACGCCCAAGCCCGGCACCGTTTCGTGGTTGGGTCATATGCACAAACGGACCTTTGCATCTACAATTTTGCCTAGGCACGGCGCTCACACCTCTTGGCAGGATGCTGACTGACTGCGCCGACGTCGCAGTTTTGTCACATAACTGTTACGTCAGCGGGCGATGGGGTCGTCACTTCCCTACGCCTTTTTTTATTATTATTATGGGGTATCTATATAGTTTTCTCATCTGGTTGGGTTCTATAAATATATAATTATAAATGAAAATGAAAAAGATAAATATACATAAATAGCAATAATATCACGAGGTTCTCGTCATATGGAATGGTATTGTCGACCAAAAATATCCTTGACTGTGCCCGAAAAGATGTCCACGGTGCCATCCTTAGGATGTATCTCCGATAGTTGTTGGTCTTAATAACCTGATCCTGTATTGCACAGACAAAACCCTCGGTTTCCCCGAAGAGATCACCAAAGCGTAGCCAGTGGAGGGAGGCGACTGTGTCTACGAAGGCTCATGTAGAGCCTTGTAGAACCTCCCGTGGAGCTCCTTCTCCTTCCATACGGTCTCCCGGTCGGAAATTGTCTAAGCACTGCCGGGTCCTGCCATTGCTCGTTGGCTAAGGATAGAGGGGTAAGCCCTTTATCACTAGAAATGACGTCATTATAGAATGGATCATCCGATCTCGCCAGGAAGTAATTACGGAGACTGCACACTTCGCGATTATGCATGGTGAGCGCGCACTCAGAAGCCACGCCCACCATGCTTTCGCGGCAAGTACAGCCTCATTACCGACGATCTCGGATGATGCATCCTATGGGACGTCATGGTAGTGCGGACTTTTCTATCCAGGGCGTTAAGCTCAGTTTGAGTCCACCTGAGTATGCCAAAGGTATACATGAGGACAGGCATGACCCAGCCGTTATATGCGTGTGTCTTATTCACACCGGACAAAAGGCTGTTAAGCACTTTGGTCAAGCGTGCATAAAACACGTCGCAAACTGACTGTTTCATACCAGCCTCATCGATACCGATGTTCTGTGACATACCCAGGTATCGGTATGTTTCAGCCTCGGAAAGGGTCGTTAAGTTGACGGGCATAGATAAGTCTATGCCTTCAGAGTTAGCAACCCTCCCCCTTTCAGAACTTCCATTCCCAGCTCCATTCCAATAGAACTGCTAAATTCACAAGTGATGTTTAGCAATTCCATAAGATGGGAACGACTGGAGGCGAATAACTTGAGGTCATCCATATAGAAAAGGTGGGTCACTTTTGTACCTCCTTTCCGAAGCTGAAATCCCCTCCCGGAGCCCTCCAGTAAGGTACTGAGAGGGTTCAGAGAGAGGCAAAACCAGATTGGACTCAGACAATCGCCCTGGAAGATACCCCTTCTTATCCTTATGTGGTTCTCCGCAGCCATCATCCGCTCGCCCAGATGACAAAGGATCGTACTCCACTGCCCCATACACTGCTCGAGGAAGTCTCCAACTGTACAGTCAATTTTGTACAGCTCGAGGACTCTCTTTAGCCATGTATGGGGCACCGAGTCGAACGCCTTTCTGTAGTCTATCCAGGCGGCGGAGAAAATCCGACGGTTGCGTTTCACCACTTTGCCAATGACCGCGTCAATGAGGAGTGGTTCCTTGGTTCCACGACCACCGCCCCGACATCCATTTTGAGCGCGTGACATCACCTGGTTTAGCTCCAGGTGACGAGTGATTCTCGCGCTCAAAATGGACGTCAGTGTCTTATATATGGTGGGTAGACACGTGATGGGGCGGTGCTTGCTCGGGTCTGTGGTATCCTGATCTTTAGGAACCAAATGAGTGATCCCAGCAGTGAAGAGGCTCGGGAGCGACTTCTGATCGAGAGCCTCTTGAAACTGTCGGGGGAGCACAGCGTGACATACTACGAACCCCTTCAGCCAGTATTGATGCAGCCCGTCGAGCCCCGGATTTTCCAGTTCGGGGCCATACGGACCGCCTCAACCACGTCTTCCCGCGTTATGGTGACGGGGTCCATAGGCGTAACACTCGCACTCTGGCTCACCACAACTTCCATCCAAGGGCCCTCGCTGTGGTTTACGGGCTCTGACCACAGGCCACGCCAAAATGCGACAGTGTCGGCCTGATCCGGTCCTGGGCCCGCTCCACATACCTCTGGTCGCGCCAATAATTTATAGAGCCTCTTCTGATCACTCTAGAAGAGAAAATTCTGGTTGAACCGCCTTGACCTCTCGGTAAATCGTCGAATCCGCTTCCCCCAAGCAGCGATTTTTTGCTTCAGGTCGTCTATGCGCTCCGTTAGTTTTTGCGTGATATCCGGCTGGATCAAACTGATATTTGTCCCAGCAAACGCCATCCTAACGGTGCGCATAATCCTCGGTCTATTATTACCCGACCTGAAGCTTGTCAGTCGGCCGATAAGGGCACTTGCCTTTGCGATACGGTCCTCAATTCTTTTTCTCCAGGCTGGGATGGCGCTACTTTTTTGAGTAGCACGTCCAGCCACGGGAAGTTTGGCGCCAATAATACGGCTTACTGCCAGTGTTTTCAATCGAATCCGTCTCGCAAAGGTCCCAGCTGGCTTCCAAATAGGTCACCAGCATTGGGTTAAGAGCCCGCACGACAGCCCGATTTCGCTTGCTTAAGGGGTATGCGAGGAAGTCGCGGTCGATTTTCGAAAGGCGTGCTGCGCGTTTCCAGCATCGACTCTTCCTATATGCTCCTCATTTTCTCTAGTTAGTGGGAAACCATTCCATCATCGTCTGAATTAGCCACAAATGGAATGTTGACGGCAGCTTCCACATATGCATGTTTGTTTCGCATCTAGTGGAGCCGCATTCCCAGCCGTAGCATTTCCATTCGACGAAGGAATACCCTCACGTCGTAGTCGTTCGAGTTCGGCGTCACCAAATATGTTCGAGCGCAGGATGTACCTAACTCGGTCTGCCAGGTTTTGCTCAGTGACGGATAGAGACGGCTCCAGCTCTGTAAAAAAGCAATGCATCCGAGCCCGATACGCCAAACATCCAGTTTCTTCCCCTTTCGCCCTAAAATACGCCCGCAATGCGTTTTCGTTCATTGATTTAGACCAACGCTTGCGACGTGCTCCACCAGCGGCGTGTGCCGCTTGCTGGGTCCGAGAAGACGCAGCCGACACCAAGCCTTCTGGTGAGGATGGTGGATTCGGGGGGCTGCTAGGTGATCGTGCAACACCTCGCGCTCGGCTGGCGGCCCGCATGCTGCCGCGTCCAGCGCCAGCTCCAGACGCGCCCTGGCGACCTCCAGGCAGCGGCCCTTTGCGCTTACTATCTTGGTTTCTCCATCATCCATAATATGGGCGTCAATTAACGGGAGACGCCCAGGCCCGGCACCGTTTCGTGGTTCGGCCATAAGCACAAACGGGCCTTTGCACCCTGAATTCTGCCGAGGCACGGCGCTCACAACCCCTCGCAGAGGCGCTGACTGACTGCGTCGACGTAGCAGTTTTGTCACATAACTGTTACGTCAGCGGGCGATGGGGTCGTCACTTCCCTACACCTTTTTATTATTACTATTATGGGGTATCTATATAATTTTCTCATCTGGTTGGGTTCTATAAATACATATAATTATAAATGAAAATGAAAAGATAAATGTACATAAATATCAATAACATAAAATAAATACAAAAACTACACAAACAAATAAGAGCCCAACCAGATGGGAGCCCTCGGCAGGGGAGACCAAACGGCCGAGGGTTAGGGAGAAAGGGAAAGAAACCGGCGGACGATGCGGGCGATATCGAGGAGCACCGCCTTCTGCATTTGAGCCCGGAGCGGTCCGCCACGAAGTCCCAGTCGCCTCAGATGACCCGAGAGGCTGACTGGGATTAGCCCATTCGCAGAGACGACTACAGGAATAATTTCGGTCGGCAGACCACCCCACATGTCAGTCACCTCGTGAGCCAGGTCCAGATATTTTGTTTGTTTATCTGTTTCGGCTTTCACGAGGTTCTCGTCATACGGAATGGTAATGTCGACCAAAAATATCCTTGACTGTGCCCGGTCCATCAGCACAATATCAGGCTTATTCGCAAGAATAGTCCTGTCTGTGATGATGGGTCCAAGAGCCTGGCGCGGTCATTTTCGAGCACGGCTTCCGGTAAGTACTTGTAATACGGCAATTTCCGATCCACGAGACCGTATTTCAGAGCGAGCTCCTGGTGTAGAATTCTGGCTACTAGGTTGTGCCTGTGCAAGTACTCAGAGTTAGAAAGCGCCGAACAACCGGAGATGACATGCCTAAGTGACTCACCAGGATTGCGACAAGCTCGACAGACGTCGACGGTGCCATCCTTTAGGATGTATCTCCGATAGTTGTTGGTCTTAATAACCTGATCCTGTATTGCACAGACAAAACCCTCGGTTTCCCCGAAGAGTCACCGAAACGTAGCCAGTGGAGGGAGGCTACTGTGTCTACTTAAGGCTCATGTAGAGCCCTGTAGTACCTCCCATGGAGCTCTTTCTCCTTCCATACGGTCTCCCGGTCGGAAATGCTCTGTACTGCCGGGTCTTGCCATTGCTCGTTGGCTAAGGATTTAGGGGTAAGTCCTTTATCACAAGAAATGACGTCATTATAGAATGGATCATCCGATCTCGCCAGGAAGTAATAACGGAGGCTGCACACTTCGCGATTATGCATGGTGAGCGCGCTCAAGAAGCCACGACCACCATGCTTTCGCGGCAAGTACAGCCTCATTACCGACGATCTCGGATGATGCATCCTATGGGACGTCATTGTAGTGCGGACTTTTCTATCCAGGGCGCTAAGTTCAGTCTGAGTCCAACTGAGTATGCCAAAGGTATACATGAGGACAGGCATGACCCAGCCGTTATATGCATGTGCCTTATTCACACCGGACAAAAGGCTGCTAAGCACTTTGGTCAAGCGTGCATAAAAGACGTCGCAAACTGACTGTTTCATACTAGCCTCATCGACACCGATGTTCTATGACATACCCAGGTATCGGTATGTTTCAGCCTCCGGAAGGGGTCCTTAAGTTGACGGGCATAGATAAGTCTACGCCCTCAGAGTTAGCAACCCTTCCCCTTTCAACATGGAGGACCGCACACTTATCCGTCCCAAGCTCCATTCCAATGGAATTGCTAAATTCACAAGTGATGTTTAGCAATTCCATAAGATGGGAGCGACTGGAGGCGAATAACTTGAGGTCATCCATATAGAAAAGGTGGGTCACTTTTGTACCTCCTTTCCGAAGCTGAAATCCCCTCCCGGAGCCCTCCAGTAAGGTACTGAGAGGGTTCAGAGAGAGGCAGAACCAGATTGGACTCAGACAATCGCCCTGGAAGATACCCCTTCTTATCCTTATGCGGTTCTCCGCAGCCATCATCCGCTCGCCCAGATGACAAAGGATCGTACTCCACTGCCCCATACACTGCTCGAGGAAGTCTCTAACTGTACAGTCAATCTTGTACAGCTCGAGGACTCTCTTTAGCCATGTATGGGGCACCGTGTCGAATGCCTTTCTGTAGTCTATCCAAGCGGCGGAAAAGTTCCGACGGTTGCGTTTCACCACTTTGCCAATGACCGCATCAATGAGGAATGGTTCCTTGGTTCCACGACCGCCGCCCCGACATCCATTTTGAGCGCGCGACATCACCTGATTTGAGTCCAGGTGACAAGTGATTCTCGCGCTCAAAATGGATGTTAGTATCTTGTATATGGTCGGTAGACACGTGATGGGGCGGTATTTGCTCGGGTCTGTGGTACCCTGGTCTTTAGGAACCAAATGAGTGATCCCAGTAGTGAAGAGGCTTGGGAACGACTTCTGATTGAGAGCCTCTTGAAACTGTCGGGCGAGCACAGAGTGACACACCATGAACCCCTTCAGCCAGTAGTGATGCAGCCCGTCAAGCCTCGGACTTTTCCAGTTCGGGGCCATACGGACCGCCTCAGCTACGTCATCCGGCGTTATGGTGACTGGGTCCATGGGCGTAATACCCGCACACTGACTCACCACAACTTCCGTCCAAGGGCCCTCGCTGTGGTTTACGGGCTCTGACCACAGGCCGCGCCAGAATGCTACCGTATCGGCCTGATTCGGTGCTGGGCCCTTTCCACTTACCATTGGTCGCTCCAATGATTCATAGAGCCTCTTCTGATCACTCTGGAAGAGACGATTCTGGTTGAACCGTGTCGACCTCTCGGTATATCGCCGAATCCGCTTTCCCCAAGCAGCGATTCTTTGCTTCAGATCATCTATGCGCTCCGTCAGTTTTTGCGTTATATCCGGCTGGGACAAACTGACATTTGTCCCAGCAAACGCCATCCTGACGGTGCGCACAATCCTTGGACTGTTGTTGCCTGACCTGAAGCATATCAGTCTGCCGATGAGAGCTCTAGCTCTTGCGATACGTTCCTCAATTCTTCTTCTCCATGCTGGGATAGCGCTACTATGGCCAGTAGCGCGTCCAGCCGTGGAAACCTTGGCGCCTATGATACGGCAGGCTGCCAACGCGGCGCCAAAAAGAATTGAGTCCGTCTCGCAAAGGTCCCGGCTGGCTTCCAAATAGGTCACCAGCATTAGATTCAGAGCCCTCACGACAGCCCGATTCCGCTTGCTTAGGGCTACGCGGGGAAGTCGCGGTCGATTTTCGAGAGGCATACTGTGCGTTTCCACAATCGCCTCTTCCAATGTACTCCTCATATGCTCTAGTTCCAGTTCCTGGGCGACTGTTCCGTCATCGTTTGAATCAACCACAACTGGCGTATTCACGACGGCATCCACGTTTGCGGTTTGCTCTACCATTTGTGGCGCCGCATCCTCAGCCTTAGCATTTTCATCCGACGAAGGGAACAGCCTCACGTCGTAGCCGTTCGAGTTCGGCGACATCAAATATATTGAGCGCAAGATATACCGAACTCGGTCTGCCAGGTTTTGCTCTGTGACAGTTAAAGATGGCTCCAGCTCAGCAAAAAGTCGATGCATCCTTGCCCGATACGCAAAACATCCAGTTTCTCCCCCTTTTTCCCTAAAGTACGCCCGCAATGCGTTGCTGCATTCATCTGGCTTGTGACCAACGCATGCGACGTACTCCACCAGCGGCGGGTGCCGCTTGCTGAGTCCGAGAAGACCCAGCCGACACCAAGCCTTCTGGTGGTGATGATGGATGCGGAGGGCTGCTAGGTGGCCGTGCAGCTCCTCGCGCTCGGCTGGCGATCCGCATGCTGTCGCGTCCAGCGCCAGCTCCAGACGCGCCCCGGCGACCCCCAGGCAGCGGCCCTTTGCGCACTATCTTCCTTATCCATCATCCATTATTGGTGGGCGTCCATTAACGGGAGACGCCCAGGCCCGGCGCCGTTTCGTGGTGTAGCCATAAGCACAAGCGGGCCTCTGCACCCTAAATTTTGCCGAGGCACGGCGCTCACACCTCTCGGCAAGGCGCTGACTGACTGCGCTGACGTACCAGTTTTGTCACTTAACCGTTACGTCAGCGGGCAATGGGGTCGTCACTTCTCTACGCTTATTATTATTATTATTATTTATAAAAAAAATTAAGAAGGAAACAGAAAAGGAACAGCCTTTATCAATAAAGTACTGGACAGTCAGTTTTGAACGCACGCACACATACAAAGTCACTGCGTATGTGTGAGTGTTGAATTAGGCCTTTCGCAAATTTTTCGAAGAAAACAACAAAAGTATAAAATATTACCAAAAACTACTAGTATATATAAATTCTACTTGATTTTTCCTATAAGTAAAAGTATTTACTATGGTATTCGAATAAGAAATATACTATTATTATCTTTTTAGAGATCTTGACCGTTATGAATTGTTCGCGTAGAGGTTTTTTGTTTCTACTTTTTTATCAATTGAAACATAAAAAAGTTACTGTTGTTGTAACTTAGATCATTCAAAAACATTACGTAGTAAAGATAAATAGCATTACTTACCGTTTTTTGAAAGAAAATCCAACTAAAATCACAATCACAAAACTTCAACGATTACACAACTAACCGCAACAGCAGCGCAAAAGCGAGTGGCTGTTATTATTTGATTTTGTCTATGTAACCGAGTGAATATAATTCTTCAGAATATTTTTTAGTTCGTTTAGAATCGAATGAAATAGTTTTCAATTAAAAATATACTGTATTTTTATATCAATTAAGACGAAAATAGCAGCACGTAATGCGGACATGAATTCATGTCCGCGGTACTCAACGGTGTATACCGTGGACATGTCAACATGTCCACGGTACCTTAGGGGTGCGCAAACGTAACAGTCATCTGTGAAACTATATACTCCGCCCAGAAGAAGTGAAATTATTCATGGCAAAGCATTTCCTTCTATTAATTGAAGATATAGGGGTTCGACCTAGAGTCCAACTGATGGCAAGTAGATACAGTGGCCCATAGACACACATTACATTTATCCTAGATTACTAAGATTAAATCCTTAAGAAATCAAAACGCAGATAAGTTTTCATCGCTCGGGACGATGTATGTAATAAAAGTGATCCCCGATAAAAAAGGGTTTCCGTCTAGGCCAGGCGCGTCGTCTTGTAACTTTTTTGTGACTCAGTCTGTGGAGCGTTTGGCCTACATAGGATAAAATTTCCGAAACTGAAAATATAAATTTTATGTTTTATAGGATGACAGCTGTCTAAAAGCACATTTGTTCATGTTTGCAAGTGTTTTAAGTTAATATAATTTAATACTGGCGATTTTTTTATAAATTTATTAAAGTAATAAAGAAATGGCATTCACAAGATGGAAAGTCATTTATTATCATTATATTTATTAAGTGAAAGAAAATATCACCATATCTACGTAAAAATCTCTTTATTTTTATGTTATGAGGATTTATATAGTAATTTCATATGGTTTGGCTGAATAAATATATTAAATATATAAATGATACATAAATAAATACCCGAAAAAAACAACTAGATAGAAGCCCTCGGCAGGATAGACCGAATTAGAAAGGGAAAGAAGCCAAAAAGTTTAAAGTTTTTAGTAGTACGTTAAAGATTTCATCTATATTTTTATTTAAATATTTTTTATAGGATAGGATGACAAATGAGCACATAACCCACCCGATGGTAAGTGGTTGCTGTGGCTCATAGACATCTACGTTTATCCAAGATTACGAACAGATGCGTTGTCATCCGTGAGCACTTAGATGGAATGCCTCGTTTTCAGTAAAAATGGTCTCCGGTTCTCTACACTCACCATACGAAACACAACAGTATTAAGCTACTAATTAACGCTGGTATTCTGTGAGAGCGTGGTCCTTCCCCGGTCGAGCCGACCCATTCGTGCTACAACTATACTACTAATATAACTGCAGCAATGCTCTACCACGTAAGTAGTTATTATAACGCCCTCACCCATAGCTTGACTTATAATGTAAAAAAGAGCCTTGACATGGTCTTTGAGAGTAAACGACATAATATAGTATCACCTATTTCATCGAAATATAATATTTTACAAAGAGTATTTAAGTTTAAATATCTCGTTAAAATGTAACCGAATGCGTTGTCAGTAAGAGTGAAGACGATGGCTCGCAGGTATTCACGCTGTACAAGGGAAGTTAATATAGCCATATTCAGAGCTCTGCACGTCATTTTATACTTGCAGCCTGTGGGTTATATATACCTATTAGGGTACTGCTGAGGTTTCCTCGTGTTCTGTAGTGCATCAGAGATTCTATGACTACTTTTACGAGACTATTCGCAAGAGGTGCACGTACCTTGTGCGCACAGAGCAAGAGAGTAAGTAACAATAACATCCTTAAAATGATAGCGAGCAAACTGGACTGCTATACATATGCCACGGTACAATATCAGGTGGAATGGTGAAAAAATGGCACATATAAATATAAATTTTTTCTTCTTTATCAATATATTGTAATAAGTAATATACCCACTCACCTAATTATATGTGATGCTAACAAATTATTAGTCGTAGTTACGCAAATAAATAAATGTTGCTTACTTTCTTTTTCTTTCTCATTATTACTAATCACTTATTTTCAGACTCAGGTTCATATATGTGACTACGGGTACAAATTTTCATACACATGCTACTTTAGTAAAAACTGAATAAAAAACTATGCAAAACTATTAATAGACATAAAATTACTGGTTTAACGGCTTGACGGACATTTGAAAGTAAAAACTTCCATTTGTTTCGACTCTTGCTTACTGTAACTTATTTATTTTTATTTATTTGGTTCATCAACAAATGTTACACTAACACATTTGCTTAATTCTAAGACAGTGATATAAACTACGTGCACCGCATGCTTATATATGCTTAGTGCTCACAGCATTTCCTACAAGCCTTTACATAATAGCTAATAATATACAATACACAATTATTTTTTTTAATTAATACAAAAAAATTGGGTACTACTAATAAATATTAATAGTTTGATAAATTTTGTATCGAAAAACGTTAAAAGAGTCGTCGTGAATATCTACTACATTATTATAAATATTTAAAAGTCTGCAAAATCTGGGTATTGGGGAATTAGATCCTAGTCCAGTTCTACGGTTCTAGGGGCGGCGAAAGAGGAGTAATGTACTTACGAGGATATCTACTTGGGATACGAAAATCAAATTTACTTAGTAATAAAGGACAATCTAACTTATTTCTAAATATTTTATATAAAGGTTGCAAATCTAGAATATACCGGCGTTTAGATAGTGAGACCATTTTATATGTCTTTAATCTGTCAACATATGATACATTTTTATATGATTTTCGTGTTGAAAAGGCAAGATGCCATAAAAAAATTTTTTGTATGCGCTCAAGCCGTAGGGTATGAGTAGAATAATGGGGACGCTAGACTGTGCTACAATATTCTAATATACTTCTAAAAATTGAAAAGTATAAAAGTTTTTTGTGGTAACATTACGGAAATCTTTACTGTTTCTTATAAGAAAACCTAATGATTGAGATGATCTTTTAGTAACACTTGTTAGTTGTGGTATAAATGTAAGCTTTTTATCGAATACTACACCTAGGTCCTTAACAGTTTCCTCTTCTTGGATAACTACTCCATTGAGGATATAAACCGATGGAAAAAAATTATTTTTGCGCGTGAATTTAACGTGTACACATTTTTTTTAGATTAAGATTCATTCCATTAAGATCGCACCATTTGGAATTCCACCATTTGTTTATGCTTTAGTGATAGCTGTCTTCCAAACCAGTTCAATGTTTAATTTAACACTCATAACTACAAGTAAATTCCTGTTCCTAGTGACGACGTAATAAGGAAGTGGTACAAGAACTTTCACTGTTGTAGTAAGGAAACCTATGTTCCATCAGCGAGTTATGAAGAGGACTACGTTTTTGGTCTCTTTACGTGACAGAATCAGTAACGATGGTATCGGCAGTAGAACCAGGATAACCAATATAGCCGACCAGATCTCTAATCTGAGTGGTAATGAGCCCTATAGCTCGAAGAATTGACAACACTCTGGGAAGAAACATTTTAAAGTTGCAGACTCATATCCGCTCGTTTGCTTCTTGCAACCACAGTTGCAAAAACAGAATCCTTAACTTTGCTCTTTGCAACTGTGGTTGCAAAGCGACGAAGTTCTTTTAATTGCATTTAGACCGTGTTTTAAACGCACAGAGTCTAATTATTACGTATGAAAACAAAAAAAAATATATAAACCATAGATTTGGATCAAAATTACCAACCTCTTGCACGAAAATTATCTAAATTTTGTTAGTTAAAATTTTGTGAGTGAAGTGACGCTTGAGTGGATTGAATTTTATTGATTTTTGCTAGTATTTATATACCAAATTAATGTCTTCTAAGTGTTTTCTTGTATTAAAGTAATATTTTTGCAAATACTGTATGAAAAAGTAAAAATCTCATGAGAATCTAAACATATTTTTCTATCATATTATTATCGTAATTATGTTGTATTGATGATATTGGAATATAATTAATCGATTTAAGTAATAAA